TATTTATTATTAATATAATAATATTGCACATTATTATATATTATATAATTATTAAATATATATACGAGTATAATAATTTATATCTACACAGAGTACACAATTTTAATCAATAACTGAATAAAAATTTTATTCAGAAAAATTTTATTAATGTAATAATATTACATATTATTATATATATAATTATTAAATATATATACGAGTATAATAATTTATATCTACACAGAGTACACAATCTTAATGAATAACTGAATGAAAATTTAATTCAGGGATGACATAATATGGTATCACTTTTTCTGCGTGAATGTCTGAGAAACATATGAATATCAATTTTGTTTTCTTAAATAGAGTCATACAGCTTCTGGTACACCAATCCATGCACCTTGACATTCTTTGCAAAAAGATATTTGTCTATATGTATAAAAAGCTCATTAATTTCAAGGATACTTAAATTTGAATGTTTCTTTGTAATCATAATTCTCTGATTAAAGTTTATTTCGCTTTTGTAAGGAAAGTTGAAGTTTTAAATCTTTTGAACTATCTTTTTATAAACGAATACATTAGAGACATAGGGCAGTAAATCAAACGACAAAGCTAACCTTCATATAGATTTTAGTAATACAAATATGAGAAACATGTTTCAAGGAATATTTTTATTCCATTATCAGTCTCCTCTGAATTATCAATTATTATTATAAAATTATATAACAGTGTAACGATTAAGTGAGCTATTTTAAGCGAATCATAATGTATATTAAAAATATATATTTTCTGTACAATATGTAGCATACAATAACTATTTATTAACGTTATTTAAATTTCAGTAAAATTCTATGAATTATCTGTCTCAAACTTTTACTTAAAACTAATGGGTGCCTCAAAATTCACGCAAGAAGTAATTTTGATAGAAAACGCAGGTTTTTAATTGAAAATTGTAAATTTAATGTAGTATACATCATAGTGTACATAATAGTATACATATAGTATTTGTAAAGTGTACATTAGTATGCTTAGTATCTTAGTACTTTAATATCTGAGTATTTTAGTATCTTAGTATCTGAGTATTTTAGTATCTTAGTATCTTAGTACTTTAATATCTTAGTATCTTAGTATTTTAATATCTTAGTATCTTAGTACTTTAATATCTTAGTATTTTAGTATCTTAGTATCTTAGTACTTTAATATCTTAGTATTTTAGTATTCTAGTATTTTAGTATCTTAGTATCTTAGTATTTTAATATCTTAATATTTTAGTATCTTAGTATCTTAGTCCTTTAATATCTTAGTATTTTAGTATCCTAGTATTTTAGTATCCTAGTATCTTATTATCTTAGTATCTTAGTATCTTAGTATCTTAGTATCTTAGTATCTTAGTATCTTAGTATCTTAGTATCTTAGTATCTTAGTATCTTAGTATCTTAGTATCTTAGTATCTTAGTATCTTAGTATCTTAGTATCTTAGTATCTTAGTATTTTAGAATCTTATTATCCTAGTTTTCTTTTTCTTTCATTGACAACACTTTACCGCACAAATAGCGCAAAATTCAAACCATGCGTGAATTTTGGAACACCCTAAACTTTTGTAAAGTTTAGGAAATATCAGTTAAACATATTCTTTTTAAAATGTTAATTTGACCATTAAATTGCGTTTAAAAGAAATCCTATTTATTCAAAAGAAACTCTGTTGGTTTTAAACATATGTTATGTTTATTATTTTAATTTATTTTTAGAAAACACTAGAAGGCCTGGAAAACATAACTGTTTCTGTTACTACTATTGACAAGGAAACAGTACCAACTACTACCATGTCTGAATTCGCAAGCAGATCAAATGTGGAAACCACCACGAAATCTCCAAATAGGCGAACATCTAACTCAAATAGCAAAAAGGCAAACAAAATTCGCGGTGGAACGAAAAATAAAACAAAAAATCAGACTAACAGTAATAAAAATAAGGTATTTAATGTTCTTTATCAATATTAACGATAATATCGTTTCACTCATCAATAAGATACAACATGGCGATTATCTTAATAAGCTTAAAACATAGTATTAATTTTGCTGTTTGTTACATGTACTGCTTTACACGTGCTGTGTACACAGATGGTCTAATTTTTCCACGGTTCTTTTGCATGGTTTTGTACATGGATTATTATATAAGATAATGTAATAAAAATAGGTTCATACTTCGTTAATATAAATAATTATGAATCATTTTAATTAACATTTAAAGTTTGAACAATTATTGTTATAACAAAATTGTTTTTCGAGTGACACAATATTTCAATTTTCTGTGTACTATACTATGTACTATACAGAGTATACTATACGAAATCCGAATACGAAGTAAATAATTTTTCAAAAAAATAATATATGTTTTGCATTCATTTCCAGACAAAGAAGAACAAACCAAAAGCACGTGCCACGCTTTACGGGCTTGCAAGTCTTCAGAGATCAGGAGACGTGTCGGTAAACATGATGAGCGATCACACTATGATCAAGACGAGGTTTACTCTCGGTCCCTTGATTCTAAAAGTCGAAAAGGAATTCGGTAGAGCCGCGAAAAAAGAATTGAGAAGTGCGACTGCTACCACTGCAGAGATGTCGGGAAAACTTAGTCTTCGAGTTCTTCATGGTGGTGCTGCCACCCTCAATTCCATTCGTGTTTTGCAACCTAAACAGGTAAGTTAGTCGATAAGCGATTTAAGGGACACAAATAGGTGATTAAATATCATATAAAAGTGTATTCCCTTTCCAATGTTTTTTAATATTCTTCAAATCTATTTGTACACACAACGCACTACTCACACACATTAATTACAACTAACTTTCTTGCTACAGTGATTATTGATAAAGGTATCAAAGGTTGCCTGTTATTTTAAACCAGAATACTAAGAAAAATGTAAATAATTGTATTTAAGTTGGTAAATTTAGGAACATTTAATAAGGGTACAATAACAAAAGAAAAATGTTTCTTGGATTCCTGGATGTTGGTGCAATATACTATTATGAGGAGAAGAGATAAAGTTTCAAGTAAATGGATTATGAATATTCAGATACACATTTGATTCATACACATTTGAAATATTTCTTTATATTTCTTTATACGTGTTAAATATATGTAAATAGTTTATATATGTTAAGCAATATCAAATTGTAATGTTTACAAAATCAGATGCTATGGAATAATATTAACTATTCTTTAAAAAGAGAAGAAGAAATGGCAACATGCTTGTAAGATTAGTAATAGTCATTAGGGTGACTTTGGAATATAGCTTACTACCCCTTTGACCCAAAATCATTTTATTATCATGAAATATTGGATTGTTTGGAAAGTTTTTTGAAGGAAAATTGAAACGCGGGAGATTTAAATTTTAGTGTATATTTATTAAATTATATAGTTACCATTCTGTTCTACAACCTTTCTCCATCTTTCAGGCAACTTGAGAATTCTGTCCTTCCAGAATTTCTCAGGTTTTTCAGCGAAAACTTTTCTACGTGATTTTTTATTTCGACCAAAGGGTTGAAGCTTTTTCCATTAAGAGAATTTTGTAAAGATCGAAATAGTTGGAAATCAGAGATCGCGAGGTCTAGTAAAGAATATGGCGGATAGGGTAGAACATCTCAACCGAGCTCCATGAGAGTAATAATATATTGATGATAAAAGCCTTAGTACAATATTTATTACTATACATGAGCTGTTCACTGCACAAATCGATTAACTCCACTTTTTGAAAAATCTTAAATTTAAGTGTCAAAGCACTCGGTATAGTCATAACTTTTTATATTTATAATAACTTTCTCTGATAATTAAGATTAACACCGTTAAACGACAAAAATTTTTTGGCCACTGAATAATAAATAATTTATTTCAGAGGTCGCTTTGATTAACTCCGCACTCTAATGTAAATCGTTGCAATAATGCAACTCAAATGCACTAGCAAGCCATGAATGATAACGGTGAATTTTTTAGCGCCGTCTTATCAGAATTTAAGTAACATTTAGTAAAATTTAAATTTATTACTTTTTTCACTTGCCAAATCGATTAACTCTTCCAGTAACATAAAAATGGTAACATTACTAACGATTACCTTTTGGCTATTTTTTCTTATAAATTTTATATACCGTTAGATGAAAGTTACATTTGTATTTATGCATTCTACGATATTTATTTCGATTTAAATTATAAAGGGAATTTTAAAAAACAATATACATTATTTCATTGCATTTCTCCACTTTTTGT